TACTGTAGTGACTGCGGCAGTGGTGACATACAGTCGTGTGATTGCACCCTTGGTGCTTTATGGAAGCAAGTGATCATGTTAAGAGTAAAGTGGAAAGATGGGAAATCAGACTGAGCAGCATGTCTGTGGAGATGTGTATATTTGGTGTGAGTGGATGGTAAAGTATGAAGGCAGCAGAGGGAAAAATTTTTGTGTTAATCAAGGATGCACTCTTTAAAAAAAAACCAACAACAAACCAACTATGACAAAAAAAAAACCAAATACCCTCAAACAAACAAACAAAAAAACCACCACAAAAATCCACAAACTCCAAGAAAAAACCAAACCCACATTTCTACCTGGAATAATGAGTCCTTCTTATTAAAGTAGGTTTTAAAATCTCACTTGTCATTCTAGCTCTTTTATTACACTAGCTTTTTAATTGAGTTATGTGACTACTGAGTAACTAATTAAAAATTACCATGTGATCTCATTGGGAAAATATTTCTCTGTTCAGAGGAAGGCGGGTTTTAATTAAACCTCTTTTGATGAAATAGTTTCGTGAATGTAACAGTGACAGTACTTTGCTACTTTAATATTTCTTGAAGTAATAACGTGGAAAATTTGAAAATAAAAATAGAAGAAAATCCATCAGGGGGAGTAAATGAGATCTGAAACTTTGAATATTCTTTGAGTTCAGATTAATAAGTTCATTGCTATTTTTAAACAAGCCACTAAAAAAAGTAGGTGCAATAAGAAGGTACTCAAAGCAGTGCTAGCAAATGTTGTGGAAGTTATTGGCTTTATAACAGAGACCAAGTGAAGCTGTAGAGTGTAAAACAAAAAAATGCTTCCATGATATTAGTATGTTCTTGATTGTGATTAACGGATATAGATTTATTCAGGTGCTATATTTTGATTTCAATGAGATCCTGCCCAGTCGTTTGCAGAAATGGGTTAGCGGGTTTGTCTCTGGGGAAGAACAGGTAATGGAAGTGAGTAGGAGATGGGGGAAACATCACCAAAGGAGCCAGGGGAAGTCAGGAGCAGAAACACTGTGAGCTTCTTACAGAAGCCAGTTACTAAATTGTGTCACTAACAGGGCTCAGTTTTTGACAAAATGTGAAATGGGCACAATCTCTGCAGTTGGACATATGAGACAGGATGTGGCTGTGAAACCCTGGAGGAAGTCAACGTGGCTGTATGTTTATAACTGGATTTTACTGGAAGAAATTATCCTGAGGGAAATCTTCCTATGAACTTGACTAATTCAGCTACAGTTAGAGGCTGAGGAATTACAGGGAAAGATGTTCTTTTTGGTCTTTTGGGGAGATGCTGAAAGAGGCTCTGTGGGCTGAATGAGAACCTGTACCAGAAGAAGCAGAAGGATCTCACTGGTGGGAAGATTTCTCATCATATGGTGTAAGGAAGAGATTTGCAGCACATGTCATGGTCTTTACACCTTGAGCTTTTTTAATAGTCCTGCTGTAGAGCACTGGAGGGCACACACCACCAAATAAGGGAAGAACAGCCTTCTGTGGCAGTTTCTTTTTAAGGGAATGGGCGTACTGTGTCAGGGAGTGTGTGCTATGGTGAGTAACACCACACCTAAGCCAGTTCCTGCTTCTGTCCTCTCTAGCAGGTTATTCTTTTCATGTCATTCTCAAACATGAATGCAGGACAAACATAGACTATGGAAAGCATGGTTAGTTGTATGTGGATAAATTCTGTGTAATTAGAAGATTATTCAATTGACTCTTGGATCTGGTACTGTGTATTACAAGGTTCTGAAACTGCATGGCAGTCACTACTAACCTGCAAAATAATCAGCTTTACAAAACTGAACCAAGAGGGTTATCTATCACAGCTGTTTATTCTCACAGTGCAGAAACTCTTTGTCCTGAGTTGTCACATAACTACTGATACAAGTTGAGCTTATAATCACGTTCTTCTCTCACATGCCTCTCAGCAGGAGCCTTCTCACAGTGGAAAGCCGAGTCTGTCAGAAATAGATGAGCTAACCTGTTTACTGCCATCTCTATCATACATACATTTGTGAAGTCCTGTACCATTGTTCATTTTAAGTAATGACTGTAATTTTATTGGCTGTAATGCTGTTAGGGCTGACAGAAAAGTAGCAGAACAGTATCAGCCTTTATTCACTTATGTGAAGAAGAATGCAGTTTTAAAGCAGTACTATAAAACCAAAGTGGCTTATTATAGTATGCAATGTTACACGTTCACTTGTACAAGGAGAGGACACAAATACTGTGTCAACTTTTCTGGTTGACAAGGAGCAAAGCAGAACAGGGGCATTGGGAGCATTAGTAGGAACACGCTTGCTTACAGAAACCTGCTTAGAAGATGAGCCAGAAACTTTAGTTGCATAGGAAAAGTCTTCCCTATATCCTATCATTTCCCTGGGTGTCTGGCTCTGTCTTAAATCCATGCAGTGCTGAAGTGGCCACGTGTGTTGTAGATAGGACCTAGTCCTTCTCCCTACTGACAATACCTTTACTGGTACAACAACAACTTCTGCCCACCCTGATACTTCAAGAAAAATCTCTGCATAAAACATTTTGCGTGGGCTTACGGAAGTTTGCAATTAAAAAGCCCCTTTCTCAGCTGTCTCCACAAAAAGCAAAAAACCTCGTTGAAATAGGATCTGTGAACCTCGTGACTCTGGTTACTCAGCATTGTTGGATGATAACATACTGCAGCTAGGAAACAGAAGTGCTTCAGATTTCCAGGACTTGTGCAGTCATGGGGCACTCTTTTGCCACTTAAGGCACTTGTTTGCAAATGGGTATTCTCTTCCCTCCTCCTTCCCCACCTTCTTTCCCCTTCCTTACCCCCTCCTTCTCCCCTTCTTCCCCCCCTTTATATTCAGAAAAAACCAAAAATCTCTTTAAGTAATGAAGTATGATTTATAGCATCATTCTATGTAGTTTATAACAAGCAACTGCATGGTCTAGTTTAATAAATGTTATGCTGTAATCTGCTTTCTTTTTCCTATTAGCTCTTCCCTTTTCTGAGCTGGGTAGTGAATGAAGCTGAGGAAGCAGAACATCACAGGAAGGGAAGTAATGATGACATCTTTGGAATGTTTTTAAATTTACTCCCACAGGCTCTCGTGTTTTTGATTGCTGTTGTAAGATTCTTTTTCCATACAAGGCTTATGCATCAGCAGAAAATGTATTAAGCATTTATTGCACAATATTAAGTATTAAGTAAATGGGGTTTTTTGGGGGTAATGGTGGTATTTGTTTTCTTCCTTCTGTAAAAAGAGGAATTCAAGAAAAAAGAAAACTCCCATAAAATACACTCACAGGTTCACTGGAGTCTTAATCCATACATAGATGGTATCTGTAACACAAGGATAAAAAATATAAAATACAATTCTTTACAAATTGATAGATTGGGCTATTAATTTTGTAAGGTATTCCTTGTCATGAATACAGTGGAATACACACCACTGTCAGAGTCCCTGTGTGATACATCCAGAGATGTCTGGTATGCTTTCCATTAGAAGAAGAAGCTCTGAATGCAAACTCTGACTAATTGCTCACATAAGTGGACAGCCAAGACGTGACTCAGGACTTTTCAAAACCTTTCATCCGCTTGTGAACTTTGGCTTCTCATAGTTTTATCCTTACAGGTAGTAGATGCCCTGGTAGTCTGTTTTGCAGAGTCCAGGTTAGCCTTCTGGCAGCTTGCCTACACTGCTGTCACAAAATAAGTTTCCTAAACATATTTTTAATTTAGTTCTAGAATAAAAACTGTATATTGTTTTGAAAATGAAAAGAAAGTCTTATTTTTCCAGTCACCTTTATTTCACTAGAAAAGTATAAATTATCACCATAAATACAGATATCACCAGTATAAAAGTTAGATTCTCGTTTATAAAATAAATATTAAAAGACAAAGCAACATCTACCTTCAAATCCCAATACCAAGATGATTTGAATCTATGCCACAGAAACTATTCATTCATCGTTTAGTTAAAAATGATGTTCAAAATGTAGTAAATACTGCTACTTATTCAGTGCTTTCATGAAGTGAGTTATTACTGACTCAGACCCTGCAAAGTATTTGTTCTAACACTTACTTGGAACTATCAGACTACCCTGTCAGTACAACTCTCAATGTAGTGTAATCTGGATATGCTTTCCAGATGGATAGCAGGTACCTGCTTCAAGAGAGTTCCTTACAAGTCACCAGTAGAGTAGTTTCAGTTTGTTTACCTTCAATTGTCTATATTCAAATATAAATAGACCAGGTTAATTTTATCCAAGAAGTGCAGATATAATAGTAGCAATTTTGTCACATCTGAACTAACAGATCATTTCACCAGTTAATAATATTAAAAGGCAAACAGATACAGGTTTTGTTTCACAGAAACAGAATGATGTTCCTTTAGTTAGGTAAAGGACATGTATTTTTCAGAAGTAGTGTTCTTTCCCCTCACAAGTACCGTAAAGCTGTACCATAAATCTTCTGGCTCAATAAGGCCATACTGATCAAGCCAAAAGTACCTTTAGTTAACAATCCTGTTTCAGACAGGACAATAGAAGTGGCTTGGGAACAGTCTATTACAAGGGTTGAGCTCTCTGCAGAGAGACCCTAACAAATTAGAGAGATGGGCAATCACCAACCGTATGAAGTATAACAAGGGCAAGTGCTGGATTCCACACCTGGGACAGGGCAACCCTGCTTTGTTTATAGACTGGGGAATGAGAGGCTGAAGAGCAGCACTGTGGAAAGGGACCTGAGGGTCCTGGTTCATGGCAAGTTGAATATGAGTCAGCAGTGCCCTGGCAGCCAGAAGGGCCAACCCTGTCCTGGGGGGCATCAGGCAAAGCATGGCCAGCCAGTCGAGGGAGGGGATTGTCCTGCTCTGCTCTGCACTGAGGTGGCCTCACCTTGAATATTGTGTGCAGTTTGGGGCACTGCAATATAAGAAAGTCACTAATGTGTTAGAGAGCATCCAAAGGAGGGTGATGGTGAAGGGTCTTGAGGGGAAGCCATATGAGGAGCAGCTGAGGTCACGTGGTCTGTTCAGCCTGGATAAGAAGAGACCGAGGGGAGACCTCTTTGCCATCTTCAGCATCTTCATGAGGGGAAGCAGAGGACAGACATTGACTCTTCACTCTCGTTTCCAGTGGCAGAACTCGAGAAAATGGCATGAAGCCAAATCAGGGAGGTTTAGGTTGGATATTAGCAGGTGGTTTTTCACACAGAGAGTGATTGGGCACTGCAACAGGCTCCCCAAGGAAGTGGTCACAGCACTAAGCCTGTCTGAGTTCAAGAAGTGTTTGGACAACGTTCTCAGGCACACTGTGTATCCTACACAGGGCCAGGAGTTGAACTTGATGATCCTTGTGGGTCACTTCCAACTCAGCATATTGTACAATTCTATGATTGTATCAGATCACCAGAATGCTCCTCCAGCCTCCATCCACTAATGATACAGGGGCTTCCTGATATCTGGATTTTTCATCTCCAACTGCCTAATGGAATTTTTAAGCCACATAAAATTTGGGCTTCAAAATTCCTGTTTCAGAGAGCCTAAAAAGCTCCACTCAATTATCCAATTTATGGTTTTTTGTTGTGGTGGGTTTTTTGCCTTGGTGCTGCCATTAGTGTCCACAATACTTTTTCCTTAGACGTCATTCAGTGGTTGCTTTTCTCTCACAGCTCTTGCTTTCTTGCGTTTACACAGAATCACTGGTAGGACAATGGCAAGAGTGATGACTGCAATTGCAATCACTGCTATGATGATAAAGACTTCTGCTCCATATTCTGTAGGGGAGGAAAAAAGTGCAAGACTCAGTTATCAGAATCCATAATGACACAGTGCTACAAACTCTTAGCACTCATTATACTGAATGAAAAAATGCTTTCTATATTTTACAGTACCACAGAATTCAGTGTGAACTAAATACATTTTAATATGAATTTGCTGAACTGAGGTAAAGCTTTATTTCACCTGGTTCACACTAGGATTTAATCTAGTTTAGTTAGTGCACTTAAAATACTGTGCTAACATCACAAGAATAAGTCAAACCGTTCCCCCTGTTCCTACATATTTCCATCCAAGTAGGAATTTATTCTAGGTTATAAGCTAGAAAACACCAGGAGAAGAGTTTTCTATTTAAGCTGTAATTAAATTGTAATTTATCACTATTGTGATAAACAAAAATACATATTCAGATAGGGAAGTTAATTTGAGTTCATTTGCCAATTTTAGAAGAGATTTTCTTATCTGGGGGAGAAGAAAGATACAGTACAGCAATGTGATATTATTTAAATAGTATTGATGACTTTATATTGAAGAAAGTGTCATCCAGATTGTTTGTCTAAAATTTGACTGGCTGATTCACTGACCATTCCTTAACTTATCTACCAGAAAAGAAGTCAATCTGCCAACCTCTGACCTTGTAATAGTAAAGAAAGTCTTAGTCTCACCATCTGCTTTAGGGGTAACTAAAGGTCAGTTCAAATTACAAGTCAGTGGACAGGTTTCCAGCACTCGTATGTTTTAGAGCTAATCCTTCAAGCACTTACTATGGGACCTCCTACTGGGAGGATCTGAGGGAAACAATGGCGAAAAAAAGCCAAAGCTGAAGGCTAGTGATGAGATCTGAAGCCTCAGTGACCAGTCATCAATTCAGGCAATTTAATCAAAACAGTTGAGCAAAACCCTAAAACAAACTCTAACTAGCTGACGATGGTGGACTCTTACTTGAAGTGAGTTCTTCGAATGAGTTTCTGTGTTCTGACTGTGTCTTCTAACTTACACAGTAAATGGTTTATAACAGGCATCCCAATTTAAAGACATGTCTTTTTGTTAGAATGATAAAGACTGTGGTGTGACCAACGTCACCCGGCACCCACCGTCGAAGATGCCCCTTTCTGCAGTGGTGCAGTGCATCACGCTGGTTTGACCATTACGGTTTTCTCTGCGGGACGGAACGAATCCCTGGACATAGAAGCAATAGTTCTTTGTGCTCTCAACGCTTACTTCAAATGTATGGCTTTTTGTTGTTGTATCTTTCTAAAAGGGAAAAAAAAAATATTTCAAGTGTCAACTCTTAAGGTAGCACAGAAATTGTGTAACTATAATACAGCTACAGAATATAAAAATCATTACAGAATGAAAACTGGAGTTAGACTTTACCTTTCCAGAACTTTGATCTTTCCAGTAATACAGTTTGTATTCCAGGTCATGTTGGAAAATATCTCGAATACTTTGAAAGCTTCCATTAGGAAACGTATATGGTGTAAGTGGATCTTTGATCACGATGTTCAGTTCCGAACCTTTTTGTGTATAATTCTTTATCTCTGGTTTTCCAATAACAGCTAAACAAAGATTTTTAGAATTAAAAAACTGATATAATCTTTTCTACACAACAAACTCTTCTTTCTTCCACTCTTTATTAACTTCCCATCTCAAATCTATTCTGAGTTTATGAAGCCAAAGTAATAGGGTGAAGTCCTGGGTTGTCAACAAGTATCTTCATCTAGTACACAATGTTAACAAAAGCTTTATGCCTGAATGTCTTCTCCAGTATCAGCACGGCTACTGTAAGAATCTATAGAAAAAACCTTTAAGCTCAATCTAAATCTTGTTTAAGTCAATGGAACTAATCTTGAAAGGAAGTTTATAATAAGATTTAATTGGCAATCCTACTTACTCTGACTATAAGGGGTAAATTTTTCAGAAAGTGCATAAGGTGGTTCTTCAAAGTTATCCATCCCTGCGGGCATTACAGACAGTATGTGGGCTACGTAGGTCTCTTTTACATCCTTGAGCGCATCAGTAACATCACACTCTGTTTCTGTTGTCCGTATGCATTTTTTTTTAATGTCAGATGTCTGTCTGAAAAGAGCGAGAAAGAAGTGTCAACAGTTTCCAAGCAGACACTTACATATTTAGATACACTGAAAAACATTTCCCCCTTAAACTGTATAGATTTCCCTCATCCAGTAGAACAGTCTTGCAGGGGTATTAGGCTGAAAAGGAGAAGAGAACACTTGAAAAAAAACCTATCGTGTACAGCTGTATTTCACAATTCAAAGTAGAATCAAGCAAAGTAAGTAAGATCCATATGACAGAAATATGTTATTGGACCCATATATGAATTCAATTTTTTATATTAATGGATAGAAACCATAAGTAGTTCTGAATTTGCATTTTTCTGCAGTTGCAGAATTTATTTTTAAAAATATAAGATGCATAAATTACTTTGAATGTGTTATCCTTGATGCCTGTGAAAACTCTTGCCTTAAGAAACATCAGTTGCTATAGGAAGCTCTATTGACACAGTTTAATGTGACAACGTCTCTGCATATATGTCACTTGGTTTTGCATCTGTGCAGTGGCAAATGTCACTAAGAACCAGAGAGTGGCAGCAAATTTCATTGCAGAATGATGATTTAAAAAATATTGACAAAAAACTCTTATCTTGATTTTTAAAGAATAGAAAACATGTCCATTTACCTGAGAACTAGTAATGAGACCAGGAAAAAAGTGTTAATTCCCCATTTTACTTCCTAACAAGAAGGATTGAAAAAAAAAGTTATTACTCTATTTTTTTCCCTTTTTTTTTTTTTTGCTGGTGAATTAAGCAAAAGAAAAATTGTGTGATCTCTGCTGGAAGAGCAAGAGTGGTGACTTTTGAAATTAGCAAATGGGTTTTCCTCAAAATAGATCCAGTTTTATTTTCAAGAGTCACCTGAACTCCCTTCTTACTTCACCAGATTTCTTATGTTACAGATCAGTTATTGATAGCGTCACACAACATGCTTTGAAAAGGGACAGAGATTTGATCTTTGGGATGAAACAAAAGTACTCTCTAAATGTACAGACCCGAGAAAGCAAACATTTAAGCACACTTACTCTGGAACAGCAACTTGTCTAAAGAGGTGCCTCTGTAGCAGAATTACACCTGATTCTACACTGAATCTTGGGCAAACAGATTTCAATTTTTTGCAAGCAAAACCACTGGAAAGAAACTCCAGACTCATGAATTTAATAAAATTTGTTCTGCTAAGTGTGTGCTTTTAAGTCTACTAATCTAATCACTCCCTTAAAGAATGAAAGAGCACATTAGGCCATTGCACTGGTATTTCATCCATTAGTCATGAGAGAGCTCTCATGCCACTTTCAGTTAGAGACAGAAGAGACTGCAGTACCACTTTTTTATTAATATGTAGGAGGTTTGGTGATGCATTTTCCCTTTGGGACAAATTTAATAATGCTCTCTATGTATTAAAATGGGAGCTAAGAACAACACAGGTTTATTACTGAACTTCATGGAAGTTTTTGTGCAGTTCTGAAATATGTGTTAGGCACTTTACATTAGCTGGCTACCTTTGATGTCCACAATATTTTATAGTTTACATAAAACATGATAGAGGAAGTGTTGACAGAGGTAGACGAACAAAGGTGATTTGTAGTATTATCCAGCAAGGCAAATTATTCATTTATTGTGATTCACCAATTAGAATAAAATGCAGACTCATTTATTAGACACCTCCCAAGACTGAAGACAAAAAACTCAGACCAGACACCTTGAAAAACATAAAAAAGGTGACATTCTATCTAATACATGGTGTGTCAGATTGAGAATCAAATTCTTCAAAGTATCCTGGCCTAGATCTCTCATGCAGCTGGCCTGCACCAAACCTCAGAACTGAAATACTGATCTCTAGCTCAACTCTCCATTTTTTAGAGTGGGAAGAACCAGAAGCCTGAACCACATATCCTTATAGTTGGATACAAAAAACTCTTAACAGCTGGGTAGGGAATTCTCCTAAGTCCTTTATGTTTGGGCCCTTTTCCTGTTACATTTGCTCCCGAACATATTCAAACACTCTCTATTTGCGTCTTCTTCAATTGCCATTAATGGATATACCTTGGTGTTATCTACTTACCCATGTATTTCTACAGTATATAAGTAACCTGATGGTTTTGGCTGCCATTGTAGTATAGTTTTAAAATTGATTGAAGACCAAGTTATATTGACTGCTGTCGGTAGTGCTGCATAGCCTTTAAATACAAAAAAGAGAAAAATATCAGTCATATTATATGTAATTCCTGTTTCCCTGCAGTTGCTGTTTAGTTAAGTGAAGCAGTTGCTGTTAATTGCTACTTGGAAAAGTTGTTTTGGGGGAAAAAGCTCAGTCCTACCCTCTGGGCTCATGCTTGTCTTACTAAAGGAATATGTCCTGGCAGAAGTGAGAAATATGAGAAGAATATTATTTTCTGTTTTACAACTCCCAAATCGATGAATTAACTTATTTGGAATTCTGTCTAATTAGCTCTTTTTGATTCAAGACCTCTGAAGACGATACAAAAGCTTGAATATACGCATGAGAATGTTCAAGCAGCAAATAAATGTGGTGCAGTTCACCAGGACTCTTGGCCCCCACAAGCGGATGGGAGTCTGCCGCGATGACCCACGACAGCCACAGCTGCTTCGGGGAACTGTCTGGGAGGAAGCTGGATGGGAAAACCCCTCGCACCCCTGTAACCTCTGGAAATCCAGGGTTTAACCGAGCGATATCCTCCTTGTTTTCAAATTACCACCTTCTCTACCTCTTCGGCAAGGGAAGGAAATCTTGCAACCTTACCGCAACTGCCGACCCCCGAGGCTGGCCCCGCTCCCCAGCAGCGCCCCGGCCGTGGACAGTGAGGAACCCCCAAGAAGAAGCCAGTCCTTGGTGACCCGAGCAGGGGCCGCCGCGGGCCCAGGGCGAGTGCCCGGGTGAGTGCCGCTGTCCCGCGGCCACAGGGCGAGTGCTGAGAGCCGCTGTCCCGGGGCCAGCGCCGCTACCCCCCTTCCCACGGCTCTTCTCGGGCTCCCTCGGGGACACCCTGTCCGAGGGGTCCGAGGGACCGAGTCCCGGCGCCGATCCCCCCGTCCCCTCTCCGTCCCTCTGCCCGCCGTCCGTCACCCACCGGCGGCGGCCAGGCGGCACAGCAGGGCGCTCAGCAGCAGGGCCTGTCTTGGGGCGGCGGAGCGCAGCATCCTCGGGGAGCGGATCTGACGGGTCCCGACGGGTCTGAGGGCGGTGAGTGCGGCGGGGCGGGAAGCGCTGGCTTATATCGGCGGGGAGAGGCGGGGACCGCGGCGCCTCCCGCGGGGCAGCCGGCGCGGCCGGCGGTGGGAGCGGCGGTGGGAGCGGCGGGGGCCGGCGGGACACCAAGGGGCAGGGAGTGTGGGCGGCGGAAGCGCCCGAGCTGAGCAAGCGGAGCGGGGATCTTCGAGGAAAGCCGTGAGGAGAGGGGCACTGAGGGACGGGCGCCGTGCCCCCCCGGGCTCCAGCCCCTGAACCGCGACCCCGGGCACACCTGGACGCACCTGCAGTCCGTGTCCCCCTGCCTGTTTGGTGTCCCCAATTTGTACCGCCCCTCGCCTCCCCTCTTGGAATAGTGGCGAAACTGGACACCACTGGATAACCAGCTTCATCCACTGCCAACCTTTGGCTTGGCTGTCAAGGGGCAAACAGCACTCCAGCTCGGAAATGGCTGCTCTGTGAGGCAGCTGGTCATGCAGAAGTGATGTTGGGTTAATTAGATTTGATCCTGTACATTCTGAAGGTCTAAATGTGTCAGTCCTTGCCTCTCCACACAGAACGTTGGACACTGGTTCTCACCTAGATGACATCTTCTATTCCCTCACGCCGTGAGAACGCGCACCCTGTCAAGGCTCACCTGTCACACTAGACACCAAGAAAGTTTCAAGTGTTCAGGGCTTAGTACCTCACCTCTCCCATAAACCAGGGGCCTGCTAACCCTTTTCCTACAAGCTCACATTGGAAAGGTATGCAATTTTAACTGGTAACAGGGAATCTGCCTCTGACAGAGGGTTTTATGAATCTCAGCCTTTGTGCCAGGCTCCCTGGCCCCTCTGGGATGTGTGTGGCTCTCACGGTGCTCTCTTTCTAAGCAGTTTAACCAAGCTTCGGAGCCGGAGAGGTGCGTGCTGTAGTTCTGTCTAATACTCAAGCTCTAGAGGGAGCTGTGTTCGTACTGAGCTCAGAGATCTGCCTCAGGAAGGTGGGAAACAGGCTGTGCAGTAGAACTTGTGTCATAGTTCAGGCAGATATATACATTTACAGTCTTAAGCTGACTCTTTATTTTGATGCTGCTTTGTACGATGTATCTGGAATATATAGGTAAGAGACTAATTGGGAACTTTCATATTTAATTGCCTTTAATTTTCATGATTAACACATAGTTAGATACAAGGAAGCAGTTCTGTCTCATAATGCAGAATAAATGCATATGGACCAAACTACAATATCCATTTCAACCACAGCCTGCAATTCATATAATGTGTTTCAAGGCACCCCTAAACCCTGGATTTTTAAATTACCAAATCCAGCCATACACCTTCTCATTTTCCTGCCTTGCTTTTGATCAAATTTCAGCCATGTCTGTATGTAGCTGTATGCCAGCATTACATCAGCCAAAAATATTGCATGCTTTTAACCTGGTGTAGAATACAGATCCTGTGTGTCTAGCTTTTCAAGATTCTGACCTTATAAGATCACAGTTGATTTTCAGAGGACTTTACAAGGAGAAACAGTAGTCACTTGTTTAAAGAAAAGAGATGCTTATATGAAACTTTAAAATCACCTTTAGGCTTTAATTCCATCTAATTTCCTTGTAGTTCCATCACAAAAGGTGGAAAATGGGTCAGCAAGGGTTTCCAGTTTTTATATAGGTAATCTCAGGATCCCCTTTTCTTTCTCATCCTTCTCATTACCACCTCTTCTGCCATGAACTCCCATACTTGAGATAGGTGAGGAACCATCCAGACCCTGTCCAGACTAACCAGTGTGACCACTGTTACCTTATTCCTGTTGCCAGCAAGATATTTCAGTGTTCACTAACATTAAGCTTTTAGATGTCCTTCTCCACGCTGCGGAATGAGGGGAGGCCACCAGTTTGCCAAAGTAGACAGTTTAAACCAGCTAACCTACCAGCTGAAGGGAGTTGTGTGGTTAGAGGAAATTGGATAACTTTACCAAGGTAACCATTCTGAGGGAATGAAGTTGAAGGGAAAATTTGAAAGATGGGTAAAAGACAGCATGCCAAGGGGGCAGTGTAGCTAGATCAGGCTGGCAGGGGAAGGGTATGATGGAAAAGGGAGAAGCACTGAGGTGAGGAGCTGCTGCAGCCTCTGCTCTTCTTCAAGTGCAGATTTGACCAGAGAATGAGAACTGCTTGACACTGCCTGGCTCCAGCGAGAGGAACCTCACAGTACCTGACATGGGCTGATGCCCCTACATGGAAGTCTGCTCAGCAACTAGTGACTTAACTGTGACATTCTGGTCACATTTCCTGCCCACTTCGTGGTATTTTAGCAGCTCATTTAACACAGAAAAATTGCACCTTATTTCAAACATATGTTGCTACATGCAAGCAAGCATTCTGCTGACATAGAGTTTTGGCAATTTGTCGAGAAACTTAGTATTTGGCTCCCATAGTGTAATGTCAAAATGTAAGCATCATCTCTGTACATGTCTCTAACCATTTTAGTCATCCTCTGCTCATTTTACAATCCGCAGAGAAAAAAATTACTCCTAACCCGAAATCCACATTTTCCTAATACAGTCATCTAAATGAAAGTCAAATTAATTTATTTAAATGTTGAAATAAGTAGAACATTTCTATTGGTGGAGGATCTTCCTATGATTTTTTAGAATATGTGGGAGACATGCAATAGCACAAGCCTGGCTGCATGTTTTGGGTTAGATGACCTCTTCCACTCTGTGACATCTTCACCCTGGTGAACTGAATGGAGTCAAGGTTGTTCACCATTGGGAAGGTTTGCCAGATTACAAGCAGATTCTACAGATTTTTTTCCCTTGATATGTATGTTACAGAACCAATTCACATATTGATTATGGGAAAAGTGAGGAGAAAAACAAAACTAAATCTGTACAACTCTCTTTTCTTCTAAAGAAATACATGTATTTATTTTTACTCTATGACCTACAAGGTCTCTAAACCGGTTCACTTAGAGAGAGCTACAAAATAATTCCTTGCTTAGCAAAGCAATTGCAACACTGTGTTTTCTGTACTGTCATATATAATTGTTGAAGTGTAATGCCTCAGGTGACACAATGACAAATTGGTTTCTTTACGCTGATAGTTTTGCAAGATTGTAAGTAAATGTAAGTAAAATTTTGTAATACTTATTAGTGTTTTGAAATTTTATAGTGTCACAAGACATTCATCATTCCCTGCTAATATAAAAGTCAGCAATATTGTCATGCTAAATAGTGTCAAATTTACTTGTGAGTAAGATCTGAAATCCCTGGGAACTTTTTCCAAAATGAAATTGCTCCTGATATTTCTCTGGAATTTTAGATCTTTGTTTAATTTGTCTCAGTGACCCATATGATAGGGTAATTAATGTAATTATACAGTGAATTGTATTTAATTACAAAGTTTAGGTAGACAATCTCTGAGTTGGTACCTGCTTCTTTAAACATCTCAGCATTTCTCTTGCAGAGCTGCTGTATCGAATGCCATGTTATAAACGCACCCACAGACTCACAAATATCACAGTGTAACAGTATTTTTAATTAAGAAGCTTTGTATAATGTTGTAAAATTGGCTACAAAGTTCCCTTTTTGATGCTTACTCTGTGGTAAGCAATGTCACTTAACTAGTGTAATGGAGTGAAGAATCAACATTTATACCTAAAAGTAGCTGTGTTTATTTCTGAATTATCCACACCAGTGAAAGCCCCAGTACAGTGAATTACTTGTGTATCCCTGATTTTCTTTTTATCTAAATTATTGTAAATTATTCTAAAATTACCTTGTGATTTTATAAAATCATATGTAGCTTAACTACATGTTAAGATAACAGAGTGCCACTGGGATAGAACTAGTTTAAAATTTAAATCCAGTTCTGACATTAATGGATCTTCATTTCACTTTTTGAAAAAAAGTAATGAATAAGCAAAGTTGATACAAAAATTGAAATCTGCAAAAGATATTTCTTACAGGGGAATCACATGGACAATA